TTTTGTCTTTTTGAGACAGGGTCTCCCTGTGGCCCCAGCTTTCCTGGAACTCACTATGTAGACCAGGCTGGCCTTGAACTCACAGAGATCCACCTGCCTCTGCCTCGCTCTAGCGGAGACTTTGAAAGGCAGTGCAGCATTACTCCAGGGTGGTTCTGCTGTCTTCAGAACTGTGCACCTAGGAACCACCTGTCATAGCAGAATAAAAATCCCACTTACTCCAGCAAAGTCACTGTGTTGTCTTACCTGAGTAAAAACCTTAAGAAGCTCAAGTGTGTAGTTCTTATAATTACCTTCTAAAGTCTCCCTCAAAACAACTTAACAACTACTTGTTTTTCTTTTTAATTTAATTTATTTATTTTTATTTTATGTGTATGAGTTACATAGGTCCCGCCTGCCCATGAGTGTATTTCCTGCATGTATGTAAATGCACCCATGTCATACAATGTCTGTGGAGGACAGAAGAGGGTGGTGAATCCCCTGGCACTGGAGTTATAGAAGGTTGTTAGCTGCCGTGTGGGTGAATCTTTTTTCTTAGATAGGGCCATTGTAGCCCAGGCTGGCCTTGAACTCAGAGATATATCCACCTGCCTCTGGCTTGTGTGTGCTGGGATTAAAGATGTGGACCACCACACCAGGTTTGAACTATTAGGTTTTGTGGGGTTTTTGTTTTTTTTGTTTTTGTTTGTTTGTTTGTTTGTTTTTGTTTTTTTGTTTTTTTGTTTTTGAGACAAGAATTTACTGTGTAGCCCTGACTGGCCTGAAACTATGTGGATCAGGCTGACCTCATGCCTGCCTGGGCCTCTGGAGTGCTGGGATGAAAGGCAAGTGTCACCACACCATGCTGGCCTGCTACTTCTAAACTTCACCAGGCTTGGATTCCTTTTATGGGTTCTCTGCCTCTCCCAGGCCCCCTTTTGGACCTTTATTCACCTCTCACCTACACAGGAAGGCTTCTGGAACCTGGAACTCCCAACCCTGAGTCTAATGAAGTTATCAACAAAGCCCTGGGTCAGTGGCCACTAGAGTCTGCTTTTTGATTCTCTCTATTAAAAAAGGGGCGGGGGCTGTCGCAGTGGCTCATGCCTTTTGATCCCAGTACTCCAGAGGCAGAGGCAGGCGGATCTTGGTGAGTTCAAGGCCATATCACAGTGAAAGATTTATCGTCCTCTTTTTTTTTTTTTTTAAAAAAAAAAAAAAAAAAAAAAAAAAAAAAAAAAAAAAAGAAAAAAAAAACTGGAAGTGCTTTTACTTTAAGTATTTGGGAGATTTGGTGTGTGTGTGTGTGTGTATGTGTGTGTGTGTGTGTGTGGCACAGCGAGGCCCGATTGTCACTCCAGTACCTGGCTCACTCTGAAGCCCTTCCCTTGGATTTTCCTGGATGCTGTTGGCAGGGGCTGTGTGGAGTCCAGTGCCTGTCTCTTCCTCCAGGCGTGGGGCTGGTGCAGTTCGAGGGGGCAGTACCGGTCAGACTCCTTCCCTTTAGGGTTTTGCAGGGCAGAGACCGTAGGCCTGTCTCCTGCATGCCCGAGAGGAATCGCTCTATGGAAAGAACCTTGCCACTGAGGTTCGGCTCAGTGGCGCCTGAGCGAACGATGTTCCAGCCAACGTGGGTCCCTCAGTCTAAGAGTGCTCAGATTATGCTCTCTTCACCCTGACCTCGGTGGAGATCCTAAAAAAGGATTTGTGGACGTCAATCTCGCATTCACACATTTATACACATCCCGACCCCCACAAACACACACCTGGGGCGCAGGCGACTTCTTGGGGCAGATGAGAAGGTCTGACCTGCAGAATGTGTGACTGAAACAGCCTGCTGCGCGCAAGACCCAGGAGCAGCAGTGATGCCTTCAGGGTGTGCTCCCGGGCTCAGCCAGCATCCAGATTTGGGCGCAGCGTCACCGTCAGGGTGGCGGAACCTTTGGGCTCCCCAGAGCTAAACAGTGGGCAACTAGAGACGGGACGGGTGTGGAGCTGGGAAGACACGCTCGCCAGCTTCGAAGACTTGGGGCCGGGGCCGGACAAGGTGTCTCGGGACTCGGGGCACTCACTGGACCCAGGGTCGCCAGCGCAGGGACCCCTCTCACGCAGCACAAACGGAAGGGTGGCCCAGTTCCTATGTGAGGCCCCCAACTCTTCCAGCCTCAGTTGCTGTCCCCCTCCTGGCCTACGCGATGGATCGCCGCCCGATGCTTAGGACCTGGAAGCGCAGGGGCGGGGCGGTAGGCGCCCAGGACGGTGACAGGTGCGCCCCTCCGCCAATCGCCGGCCCGCGCCCCTCCCCAGGCCCCCGCGGCGCGCGCCAATCCTCGGCCGCGCTGAGCTTCAAGTGTGCGGAGGGGCGCCGGTCCTCGCCAGCGCCAGCGGCCACCGCGCGGTCGCCTGCGGGCTGCAGCGCAGAGCCGGCCTCTCCAGCCCGAAGTCGCTGAAGCGCTCGCGGGCGAGTTTGTGCGAGCGAGTGTGAGCGCGGTCCCGGGGGGACTGCGAAGAGGAGGCTCGGGCACTATGGTCACCCTCGGCTGAGTTTCCAACCGCGACTTCAATTATTGGCAAATAATCCCGATAACAATACCGAGCCCCGGGGCTTGCCACCGCCACGCTCAGACTCCGCGAGCCGGCACCCGGCCGCGCCGCCCACCTTCGGGGCTCCGATCCGCAGCTCCAAACGAGCCGATGGAAAAATCCAAAAATTTCCGCATCGACGCCCTGCTGGCGGTGGACCCCCCGAGAGCCGCGACCACGCAGAGCGCGCCGCTGGCCCTGGTCGCTTCGCTCGCGGCCTCTGCATCCGGCCCCGGCGGCGGGGGCACCGGCGGCGGGGCGAGCCGCAGCTGCAGCCCAGCGTCCTCCGAGGCCACCGCGG